TAGTTGTCCACATTGAAACACCCACTAAAGGAACTATGGAACTTCCCCCCAAGTACCGTGAATACACTAATGTCTTTTGAGAAGAAGAATGCAGAAAACTTCCCCCTACATGAGGCAGACTGCAACTGCCTGACGGGCAAAGCTGCTGTTTGGGCGGATATATGCGGTGTCATAGCCTAAACTGGCAGCATTGTGAGAATCTCCAAGAGAACCTGGCCTGGGGGTTCATCTGCAAATCAACTTCACCAGCCAGTGCCCTGGTCCTTTTTGTAAAAAAGAATGACAGCCTCCACCTCTGTGTCGATTACCAAGCCATAAATCAGATAATTTGGAACCATTACCAGCTACTCCTGATAGCCGATTTGTTGGACCACGTGGGGGCTACCTGCATATTCACAAAACTGGATCTCTAGGGAGCTTACAATCTCATCCATATCAGAGATGGGGACTGCCTTTTGGATCTGCTACGGCCACTTTGAATATTTAGTTATGCCATTCAGACTGACTAATGCCCCAGCACTTCATTAAAGATGTGCTATGAGGCCTACTGGAACAGTTTGTGGCAGTGTACTTAGATGATATATTAATCTTCTCAGATGAGCTGGACAAACACACAATTCATGTCCCCACTGTCCTGGAGAGACAACACCACATGGTCTCTATGCTAAATGAGAGACCTGCACATTTGATCAGACCTCAAGTGAGTTTGTGGGTTTCATCTGGTCCCTGGAAGGAATCGATGGATTTGTGTAAGGTCCAGGCTATCCACAACTAGTCAGGCCCCTGTAATGTTCATGACCAGCAAGGTCTTTTAGGCTTTGTGAACTTCTACTGGAGGTTCATTTCAAATTTTTCAAAATAAACTTCACTCTACTCCGAAAAAATGCCAAGTTCTGTTGGTCACCAGAAGCCCAGCACACATTTGTGCAATTGAAGCTTGCCTTCATCACTACTCCAGTATTGGCCCACTCCAGCATGGCACAAGCTTTCATTGTGAAAGCTGACACCTGTAGAACAGCGATCAGGTAACTCCTCTTTCAAAGGCATAAACTCAAACAAACACTGCATCCCTTCACCTATTACTCAAGGAAGCTTACATCTGCGGAGTGAAACTGAGATCTTGGACAAGATGCTCCAAGCAGTTAAGGCTGCCTTCAAAGAGTGGCAACACTACTTGGAAGGGGCCCGTCATCTAGTCCAAGTGTTTACGGACCACAAGAACCTGTAGTACCTGCGCAAGGCCAAGGCCCTGCACCAACAACAGCTCCAGTGGGCCAGTGAGCATGCATATCCCACAGTTCTGATCCCTGTTCAATTTTACCTTGATCTACTGCCCTGGAACCCCTAGGTAGGTGCTGGATATTGTCATGTGTGGCCATACCATCCAGTTTCTTTCCCTTTCCACCGCAATCCCCCTTCCCCATCCATCTTCAGGGACCTTTCTCGTGAGAGCCTTTTACAAACAGAAATGGCCTCGTTGCTCTGTCTAGATGCCATAGGAGAGGTGCCTTAGGAGTACTGGGAAAGAGACTTCTACTCCTGGTATTTCCTCATTCGAGAGAAGAAAGGTGGCCTTCATCTTGTTCTAGACCTGAGGAGGCTCAACAAATATATTTGATGCCTCAGATTCAGGATGGTAACACTTGCTTCCATCATTCTATCGCACCAAGATCAAGACTGGTTCATGGCTTTTAACTTGCAGGACATGAATTTGCATATTGCCCACAGGAAGTACCTCAGATTAACATTAGGATTCAATCATTACCAATACAAGGTGCTACCCTTCATACTCTCCACTGCTCCAAGAGTATTCACTGAGCGCCTGACAGTGATAGTGGCACATCTAAGGAAACATCTACATGTACCTGGACAACTGGCTGATCAAGGACAAGCTCCATGACATGACCAAGATAGTCCTAGCTTGAATCCTCACCCTGTTGTCTCAGGGCTAATGGTGAACTACAAAAAGTCATCTCTCACTCCATCCCAGATGATAGGCTTCATACGAGACCCTACTTGACTCTGTCAGCATGATCATATCTGCCAGAGGACAGATTCTGTTCCCTTTGATCAATCATACATGAAATAAGGTCAAGACCATCATGCTTGCATGGGATTACTAGGTCATATATTGTGTACATACATGATACTGCTTGCCAGACTTTGCTTGAGACCATTACAACACTATCAAAGAACAGTGTACTCCCCAGCCAAAAACAATATGAACAGATAGGCCACTGTAACACTCCAAATCTTGTGAGAACTCGCCTGATGACCCCCTTGAATGTGAGAAAATGGTATGTTTCTCAACTCCTTCCTGTGCAAACTATACTTAATATGGATGCATAAGTGAGAGGTTGGGGGCCCACCTGAATCACCTCAATTGCAAGAAATTGCACATGAATGTTCTAGGGCTGAGGGCCATCAGATTGGCCTGTATAGCATCCCTGTCAGTTCGACGGAATTCTGTAGCGCAAATCCTGATGGACAGTACATCTGTGATGCACAATATCAACAAACAAGGAGGCGCTTGATAGATCCCACTTTACCTGGAAACCATCGAGGTCTGGGAATGGTGTCACCAACACAGAGTAAACCCTGGCCCCCACTGGCCCTGCACTTTCCAGCGGTCAGCAATTACCTTGAAGACTTCTTAAGCAGAGACGTGATAACCAACCATCAGTAGTCACTGGAAATTCATCCTAGACATGATATTCAGCAGTGGTGGGGGACTCTGACCAAAGACCAGTTTGCCACCACAGAGAATGTCAAATGCAACACCTTCTATTATAGAGGCGGCGTGAGCCTAGGATCTCTACCAGATGTCTTTCTACTCTGCTGGTGTCAAGCTCTCCTTTGCACCTTATCACTAACCCCCCTGATTACCATAATAATATCAAAGATCAGATGGGACAAGGCCACCACTATCATGATCGCCTCATACTGGCCAAGACAATTTTGGCTGCCAGACCTACTTCATATGTCCAGTCAATCTCCCATTCATTTTTCCTGTTTGTATGAACACAATATCCCTGAACATCCAGACCTGCAGTCACTACACCTGACTGCTTGGATGCTGGCCGGATGAGCACTACTGATAGAGAATGCTCCAGGCAGTTCTTATGCATAGCAGGAAAGTTTCCACTAGAAGTATCTGCTCTGCAAATGCAAGAGGTTTCCATATGGGCAGCCCAAAACAACCTGAATTGGTTGAAGCCCTGATTCCAAGGATCCTAGACTACATACTGCTCTTGAAACAATCAGGACTGGCATTAAGCTCTCTGAGTCCACTTAGCAATATCAACATATCATACACCAGTTCAGTTGCATTCAGTTCTCTTACACCCTGCAGTGTCAAGATTCACCAAGGACATTCTTCATGCCTGCCCTCCATTTAGAGACCAGACTGCTTCCTGGGACCTCAGTGTGGTTCTCCTGGTGATTCCCTTCAAGCCTCTATCTGTCAAAACATTCTACTTTGTTGCTGTCACATTGGCACAAACTCAGTGACCGGACGATCTCTACTTTACAGGGACAATATAGTAATGAGACAACAGCCTAAGTTAATTCCCAAGGTAATCTCAAAATACCAACTGAATCAGTCAGTTACCTTACTGGTCTTCTTTCCAAAATCTCTCTCTTCTGCAGGAGAAAAGAAACATCACACCTTGGATGTCTCCAGAACTTCTACTTTACTACCTAGACAAGACTAAATCCTTCTGGCTCTCACTGTCTCTTTGTGGCTGTTTCGGGTGTATAGTAAGACCTGGTGATCTCTTCACAGAAACTTTCCAAATGAATTAGACAGTGCATTTCCATTTGTTACCAGATTCCCTCCTCCTTCCCACCAAACATTTGGACACAACTCCACTGTAGTACAGGAGACCTCACAATTGGCCTGCTTCAGAAATGCACCAGTCTCAGAGATTTGCAAGGCAACCACCTGGAGTAACCCACTGACCTTTGTTAAACCGTATGCATTTGACATGGCAGCCAGGGCAGATACCAAGTTCGGAAGAGTGATACTGCAATCTGTCTGTTTCATTAGCTGGGACTCCTCAATCCCACTATCTCAGGAGAATATTGCTTACTAGTCACCTACAGTGGGGTCCATACTGACACTTGAAGAATAACAAACTATTACTTACCCTACTGTAACTGGCTTTTCAAGATGTTGTAGTCAATGTGGCTGCTACAACCCATCCTCCATCCCCACTTCAGGAGTTCTTGGCGAACACAGGCTTTGAAATGCAAGGGAACTGAGGGAGGGTTGCAGTCACCCCATCCTGTGCGCTTTCATGTGGGAATACGTGCAGTTCTGATAAACACTGCTAGCTAAAAGATTTGGGTTTTGTATGCATAGGGCTCATGCGCACCTACAGTGGAATCCACACTGATTACAACATCTTGAAAAACCACAGTTCCTGTAGGATAAGTAACTGTTCTTTCATTGACCTCATCCCCCAAACACACAGATGCCCTCTCTGACATATATCTTTCTGATGATCGTCATCATTTTGGATCCTTGTATTACTAGTGTATCATGGATCTGCTATTTATTAATATTAACTTGATCTTGAACTACGTATGTTCAGATTTATGACCCACATATCAAACCATTATTACTAATGGCTTATTGGTCTGTTTGGAATGGCAAGTATAATCTTAGAGTATATCTGTGGAAGAAACAAGGGATGAGAATTCTATTTTATGGCCTAATAAATATCTATTTTTAAGCCCCCTGATTCCTATGTATGGCCATAGGCCCACTTTTTTATTTTGACTCATCTTTTTAAAAAAAAAAATCTTGTTTAACTTTTACAAATGAATTTTGGAAAAAGTTAACTACTCAACATTTCACACTGTTAATGGAACCAAGATGTCAGAAATATTACAACATAGGTCATATATTAAAAAGTTGTGCCATGTGTATAAAAATTCAGTAACAGAATTCCAAAAAATCCTTAAATTCTTAAATTATTATGATTATTTTATTACAGGGGATGGAGTGCTAGATCTCTCTACAAAGAAAAACGCAAGGCTGGAAGAGTCAACATATGATCCATTATCATCTGAAAATTCAGTGTCTGGGTAAGCATCATTTAAATATGTTTAATATATGTAAAAGGAAACACTACAAAAAACTCTATGAAGGCAGATTATTTTTTTATAACATACTTGTACAGTATATATTGACACACAAATTCAGTTTATATTTTGCTTTCCTCAAGAGTTTCACTCATAAGTGTGTGTCTATGTATATATCATTTGTTTCATTGTCTTTTTCTTTTCTTTCTGTTAAAGAAAAGTTATCAGAACAATCACCAAACTTTAGTTCATGTTACTAAAAATGAACTGAAAACTTAATTACATAATACAAAAGAGTAGGACAGTAGAAGAAAACGTAAATTTATTCTTCAAGGTTTTATTTAGGAAACTTCCATTTTGCACAAAAACATAACATCCAGATTATATTTTAAAAATATCCTTCAGCTAACATGAACAAGTTAAACAGCTATTATCTTCAATATTTCTTAATGTGAGAGAGAGAGTTTCTAATTGTTATACTTACATCATGGTTTTGCCTATGGTGTGTGGTGGCAAACTGCTAAATATGTCCATTCAGCATTAAAAACTAAAAATGTTGTTTCATGTGCTGAAAGCTACCATTACATTAACTGAAACAAAAATAGTGAAATACATTGTTCTGTTGGATTTTGTTATAATTTTGGCATCCTCCCATCCACTAGCCATAGCAGGACCCTTTTTGTCACCTGTACATCTTACAAAATAATTTATTCCAAATAATACATTTAGCTTTATTTGTTGAATTGTGTAAAATTGTGTTCTGTTAATTTATTGATATGAACAAGTTTTAAAATTATTTGATTTATAATTAGAAAAATATAAATAGTGATTAGAATTTTAAAAACTGACTTGTATATTGACAAAATGGGACTTAATTGTTAATTGCAGCACTTATCTTATGAATGTAGAAAAATTAGTCTTGTGGAAATCTGGGGGTTTTGTGTTTGGTAATGTACCTATCACTGCAAATTTTCTATAAGGGGGTTGACTCTTTTATTACTTGTTTAGCGGTAACGTCACGTTTCTACTAACAAAATCTCATTTAGGATTTGGGTACTTAATGGAATGTTAATTGCATAACTAAAATTATAAGTGTTGCTCTGCAAGCATGTATCAAAGGGAATATAGCAAACACATGAGAATATTATCAAATACTGAACTAGGATTTAAAGTTCTTGGAAGGGCTGCTGTAGAAGCCACCGTATGATTTTGACACATTGTCCTACCAGAACTGTAGCATTTTACTATGATAATCAATAACTACTACATCTCAAAGACTTAAAAGTATCAGAAGCAGTGATGTTACCTAAGCAAGGAGTATAATAAAGGAGTGGACCCTTCCCTTCCATAGCTGTGTGAGAGTCTCTCATACATCAGTTTACCATCGTTTCATTCCATCCATCCAGGAGACTACACAGACACAGAGAGGACTATGTGGAAAGAAGTGCTGAGTTTGCAGATGGTTTGCTCTCAAAAGCTTTGAAAGACATTCAGTCTGGAGCACTGGACATAAATAAAGCAGGCATACTTTATGGCATACCTCAAAAAACTTTACTTCTCCACTTAGAAGCCTTACCAGCAGGAAAGCCTGCACTTTTTAAAAACAAAACTCGAGATTTCAATGATAGTTATTCATTTAAAGACAGAAAAGAAACTTGTGCAGTGCTGCAAAAAGTAGCCTTGTGGGCAAGAGCTCAAGCAGAGCGCACAGAAAAAAGTAAACTCAGTCTACTTGAAACCTCAGAATTAAAATTCCCAACAGCTTCCAGTTACCTCCACCAGTTAACTCTACAGAGAATGGTCACTCAGTTTAAAGAAAAAAGTGAAAGTCTACAATATGAAACTTCAAATCCTACTGTACAGTTAAAAATTCCTCAGCTAAGAATAAGTTCTGCGTCCAAACCACAATCTGATAATGCTGGTCTTCTGGATGTCATGTACCATGTTTCCAAAACCTCCTCAGTCTTAGACGGATCAGCTCTTCAAAAATTGAAAAATATACTCCCTAAACAGAACAAAATTGAATGTTCTGGACCTGTAACTCACTCAAGTGTTGACTCCTACTTTCTGCATGGGGACCTCTCTCCTTTATGTCTTAATGTTAAGAATGGAACAGTTGACGGAACATCTGAAAATACAGAAGATGGTTTGGATCGCAAAGACAATAAACAACCAAGGAAAAAACGTGGCCGTTATAGGCAATACGATCATGAAATAATGGAAGAAGCTATTGCTATGGTAATGAGTGGGAAAATGAGTGTTTCCAAAGCACAAGGAATTTATGGGGTACCTCACAGCACTTTAGAATACAAAGTTAAAGAAAGATCTGGAACACTGAAGACTCCGCCGAAGAAGAAACTTCGATTACCAGACACTGGGTTATTTACTATGACAGATTCAGGGACTGGCAGCTGCAAAAACAGCAGCAAGCCTGTGTAGATTAATTGTTAGCAAATTGTTTGTGTGTGTGTGTGTGTGTGTGTGTGTGTGTCTGTCTGTATACACACACACATATGAGAAATACATATGCTCACACTGACAGAAGACATGAAATTATACAGTTCAAAAACCACATACATGCCTTTTGAAAAGTAGTTTTATTCAGGGTTTTCACTGTGGACAGAATTATAGAGTTCTCCCTTAATTCTGATAGTGTGTATTTAATAAAATCCTTGTATAAATAGGTGAAAAAGATTCAGGTTTTCTTTAGTAGTCAATAGCATAAAATGTTTTGGGAAAACAAGTATTTGTCATGTGAAGCATTATTTTTAGTTGGTAAAGAACCACATTAGCCATTGACCAAACCATCTTATTATGGAAATACATGACCCAGGGTTTGCAAACTTTTATACTTCACAAATTACTTGCAATAGTTTGTAAGTAGTTCAGAATACACAAATCAAGGGATTATTTTTCTTTTACAAAGTTAGTTCCTTACCAAGGAAATGGATATGTGAAGTATTAGTAGGAGGTAGTACATTCTGTGGAAGAAGAAAAAATACATCATAACTAGATCTCCAATACAACTAGAAAAAACCAAAACATTTCATTAATAAAAATGTGTGTTAGCAGACATAAAACTGCATTTTTATCATTTTAAGAATAATTTTGTTTGTTTAGCAAGAAATTGGTGTTTACAGAATATACATTTATGAAAACTGACAAATTACTGTAGCTATAGAATTATTAAATATGAAATAAGATGGAATACTAAGTATAAAATAATTTAAACTTAATTATTAACATAATTTTCCTTTTTAGTTTGGAAAATAAGATAACTTCTAAGGTTTAAGAAGAAAGTTGGAATGCAACTTACAGCATGTTCATAATGTGCACAGAATGGATATTAAATGTGCTGGTTAATTAACGTTATGACTACTTAAAATTCATTTAAGGATTGTCACACTCCTTATATTGAAAAACAAAAAACTCACTGTAACTGTAACATATTTGCTGCTGTGACATTTCAAACCTTTTCAGTTTATCAAAATGAATATCAAGTTTTCATTTTGGTGGGCCGATACACTATCGTTTTGCTAATAACCAAATTTGCAGTTCAGGGTCTTGACAGATTCACAAATATTAAACAGTGAAGCTGTTTTGAACTTTCAGTAGTATAAATTCATTATAAATTTGTTAGAAGCTAGGCAGTTATTTTAAATATATGACTTAATAGAATCTAAGAGAGACCAGCTATCTTCAGATTGCAGTTTTTAAATTAATTTTCAAGTATTTACATTGGATTTTAAATAATATGTAATTTTGGTGGTGTAATGTCATAAAGCATATGTCTACATAAGAATGAGTACTTGCTTTATACATTCAAAATTCAACATCTGTGCCCTTTTTCCAATTAAAATTTAGGTTTAGATTATTTTTTCTAAACCAAATCAAACATATCCAGAAACACTTACCTGTTTTTCTACTTTTTGTAAATTTTCTCTCACACATACAGTGTCAGACATGTTTTTTGCTTACATTTGCCTTTGTATAGGCTAATTATCCTATGTGAATGTAAGACTACATTACACGTGTAGGGCCACATCATGTAATTGACTTTCAAAAGAAACTTGAACTCAGTGCGGAGTTTCTCTTAAAAATTTATGGCAAAATCTAGCTCTTGGCTATTAATCTTATTACAGGTAATTCCTTAGTTTTAAAATAAATTAATCCATAAGAAGTTAAGTGAAACTGCACAACCACCAACATATCAATCTTTTGGTCTCTTAGATCTATAATGTACCCTCTTCAACTATTAAGGTTTACTTGCATATTAGAAAAGGAATCTTTCTGTAAAAATAATTGTATCTAATAACAAGTAGGATACATATAAGCAGGTGTCAGGGTCATCGTTAATTTTAAAGAATTAAGCCATATTTTTGTGAGGGCCAGAAAGATGAATTTGTTAATATATCCTCCCTAGTGGAAAACAAAATTGATAGTACCTAAAGGTTTCAAAATCTCTCTTTATACAGAATTTTACTTGCAAAAGTTTTTGGGGCTTCAATACATTGCCTACTATTTGTACCACACTAAAAATTTTTATTCCTCAGACAATATTATAAATTGAGTCAGAAGTTTATATTGAAGGCAAGTTACAGTACACTTTTTATATCATTTAAAAGATGACCTGACCAAAAATTGACAGGATTCATAAAATCAGGGATCATTTTACTATTGACTTAACAGTGATCAGTAGTTTTGTACGTAATATTATAATTTTCAGCATTTTAGTACTTGTATTTATTTATTTTTTTGGTCAGAAATAGTATATTAAAATATTTTTTGATAGTTTATAGATGATGCTCAACCTGTAAGTGTTTAAAAAGAAACAGAATTATTTGTTTCTAATTATTAGGCTAACTTTTGATTACACAACTAAGGAAAGGCAGGGAAATGTGTAGGTTCCCCTTCCCTAACTCTAGTGTATTCCATTTAAATGTCATTTAAGTTGTACCTTTGAACTGTTTTATAAATTCAGTTACCAGTCACTATTTCGGAATTGACAATTTCTGAAAATTCATGTTTCAGCAGACTTTTAAATGAAGGCGAAAGCAAGCCCTACATGCTTTCTACTTATTTGAATGTTTCTCAAGTATTTTATATTAAAAAACAGTGCCTCTGTTTTTAGAACTACTGCTCAGTAAAGTTGTTTAAACCATTTCTGGTAGCTAATGACAATTTTATATTAAATTGTATATTAACTTTAGTGAGACTGATTTTTTTTTTTAGTTGTTTACAGTACAAATACTTGTATTTGTTTTTTAATTGCAGTATTTCCATTGTCGCAGTAATTTAGTAAAACTCTGTGGCTGCCTTGATTTTTGACAGATTTTGTTAATAACTGATTTTTAGGCAATTAGTTATATTTATGCATAAATCAATTGCACTATAATTCATGAATTATTTATTACAATATTTTCTAATGAATTCCATGTATTTGTCTTGTGTTGTAAATGTACTGTAATTCTGTTTCCTCTTTGTGTTGTTATATACCTAAATCTGATTGTATGAATTTAATTGTTTAGTTAACGTGTTTCTACGTTGTAATTTGTAGTAAAGCACTTCAATGCTTTTGCACATAAATTTACAACAACACTGATGTGTGATTGATTTTGCTCATTCAGTAAAACAAAACAAAAAAAGACCATATACTGGCTCATTTGACTTACTCCTTAGGCACAAATTTACTATTAGTCTAATAAGTTCATGATAGAACTTGCTTTTGACAGTTATTGCTACAATGAACGTATTTATAAAGCAAAAATAATTGTCACAAGGAAGACTGGTTCTCAAAATATGATGGTTTGGTAATAAATTAGGGACACCCCTTGGCCCGCGCCGGTTCCTGCAGCTCCCACTGGGCTGGAGCAGCGAACTGTGGCCAGTCGGAGCCGCAATCGGCCAAACCTGCGGATGCGGCAGGTAAACAAACCGGCCTGGCCTGCCAGGGGCTTTCCCTACACAAGCGGCATTCCAAGTTTGGGAAACACTGCCCTAAAGTATAGGAGAAACATAAAATTGTTTTATCAGTTTTCAACTGCAAACCGATCTGTATAAATTGAGTGCTTATTTTACTAATAATCTGTTCAGAAAGTTTTATTCATTTAATTTGTTAAACTTTCTTCAGCCAATATATTTAGTTATTAAATATATGCATTGGGGCATAGGAAAAGGGAGAACATTTATACAAATAATTTATATGGCCAGTAATTTTTTTGTTCTCCCTTTGACTACTTGAAAACATTTTTGTTCCTCCCAAGTCCAGTTTCCTTTCTGCTCATTTCTTCATTGAAGCTGTAATCATGTTATAAAGCATCTCTGGCAGAAAAAGCTAAGGATGGAACTCTGAGGGAGAAAATCTTTGTTAGATAGTTCCTCTTTGATAGTTCCCATGGGTTGGAAGAGAAAACCAATCTTGATATTTTATATGTTAATTCTATACAAAATAGGCCACTACACCCGTCCTCAAACTTGGTGGGTCACCATGTGATGACCCTATGCCTTTGTGCCAACTTTGATCCCCACAGACAATCGCCAGTTTTGGCAATTGCTGCCCCTGACACTGAGCAGGGGATTTCAGTAGAAAGGATAATGCAGTCCAAGGTTCTATTATAATTTCCACCGAATCTGTGAATGGCTTGACTTTGGGGGACAAGATGTGTTGATCCTCTTGCCCCTAACCCACCCCATTTCTATCCCCTCCCTCTGCATGAACCCTGTACCCACAGAACCTCTACCACAGAATTCATAGAAAGATGAAGAGTTCTGTGAAGACAGCAATTGTAGCTACCGTTGCGCACAGGAAGGGGGAAGATTCATGTATGGCTCTACAGGGCTAGTAACCTGGACCTCTGTGTTTGACACTGCCACTTTTTGCCATGGGAATTACTGTGATACTATAGATTCTGTATAATGACGACACAACAGGATGAAAGAGAAAAAGAGGGGAAAGCATTTGCTGAAGCACAACTCTTTAATACTTAACAAAAGTAGTTGGAAAGCTATTAAAAACATGAAAGTTGAATGAATTTGTTTACAAATACGAACATTTCTACAGAGGGATTATATGCATCTCTTTAAAGTAAATGCTTTGTTTTAAACAGATTTTTAGGCCTATGTCCTGAGCAGCAGCCAAGCGGTGCTCAGCATACTTTAGTGCAGGGTGGTGCAAAGGTAACTTTTAACATTTTGCATTCCCCTGAACCTGGGATCATGTAGTACATGGCGTAAGTTAGAGCAGCATGAGCTGCATATGATTTTATAGGGCTGTTCTGACAGCTAAGGATCACTGGAGTATAGGGATGTCAGACCCACTCTACTGATGGCCAGGAAAGGGGTGGTGTAGGAGCCATAGTAGTGATAGTGCACACCTGAGAATTACTGTACACAGTGGGAAAACCTTCAGTGGCAAGCTCAAGGCAGCTTTGAGGCCCCTGGAAGACCTGGCCCATAACTTTGAGAGACCTTTAGGAACACTGAAGTTTCTTACACTAGTGAGCATATATTTTCTTTAGATTAGTCAAATATTTAAAAAAGTAATCTTATAAAGAACACTAATAGTCCATAATTGATAAAGTATATATATGTGTGGAGAGCATATAAAGACAGATTCCTCTCTGGAGGCTTCAATTTATGTAGGTATTTTTTACCACACCAATCACGGTGAATTAAGTGCTTATCAAAGTTGTAATTTGCTAGTAGTTTGTTTAAACTACAGCATATAATATTACTGAACAAACTATTAAATAACATGTTAAAGGTCATTACTATGTTCAAGAATTTTTATTTCTATTTTTAAGTTTCAAAATGTGTTCTTACATTTAAAAAAACATAGAAAATACCTTTATTTATTTATCCAGTGTGATTACAGAAGTCAATTTTTAATCTGATTTTTCTATTTCGCTTTCAATCTTGGCTTTTGTATTTTTGTTTGATTTTTGTTTTTTGGTTGGTTGGTTTGTTTTTGGTATTTCAATAAATCTGATAAGTTGTTCTACATTTTATAATTGCCATAATTGGAGTTCCACATAAAATAAGCTTAGCTGATTGGGTCCTAAACTCACTCATGGTGGTAATATAATTACAGGCTCCACAATACAGTAGACTTTCATTTTAGATGACAGATGCAAATAATTTTGTCTTTCCATGTCATTTAATTGAATTTTAATTACAAGTTCAGCTAATAACATCAGGATTCAGTTAGAACGTTAAGAAATAGTAGAATCATCTAGATGGTTCACTTTGAACACTTTCAAACTTTATAAAAATGTTTCAGGAGAGGAAGAAAATCACCAGGAATTATGAAGCCTAGTTGATTGCTTTTATAGCATACAAATTAAAGCTTACCTAGGCCAATAATTTATACATACAGAACTATGCATGTACAAATCTTAGTAAGAAAGATGAAATAATTTATGGATTTTTATAATTCAGACTTGATACTAGTTTGTTTACATTTGTTGAGTAATTAATTAATAATTTATATACATGGTATATTAAAATGTAAAATGTAAAACCAATCAAAATGAAATTTTGCCAAAATGGAGATTTAAATATTGAAAATGATTGGTGAGAGAAATAGGGTGAATGGTTAGTGTCATGTTCAGAGTTTGGTGATATGTTTAAAAAATATATACTTTTCTAAAACAGAATTATTTTAATATTATTTGCTGCTCTTGCTTGGTACCAGTAAAAGTTCTGAATTATAGAGGATAACTATTTTATTGTAGTTGCTATTCAACAGTGGTTTTTGTGTTTAGTTGAAGAAAGGTCTGTATTAATTTCTACAATGGAACATTTTCAGCTTTTCATTTTAAATGATTGATTAGGTAAGTAGTAATTTTAGTTTTAATAAATTTGTGTTGAGAAATCAAGTAGTTAAGAAGATAGAATTTCATAACCGATTTTGTTTTGGTTGAGTATCTGAGAACAGCTGTTTTGAAGTCTTATTTAGATATAGACACTTAAATTAATCTGATATTTAAAGGGATTCAATCTCTTTGGTTTGTAAGTTATTTATTTCAAGGGTTCCTTTTTGTTGTCTTGTAGGTACAAAGTGTGTGTGTGTGTGTGTGTGTGTGTGTGTGTGTGTGTTGAGAGAGAGATGCAATGGAAGCCTGTGGCAGATTTATGCTAATGTGGTAAAAACTGGAAAGGGAATCTATATCTTAAAAGAACATTAACAGCAGTGATGGCTTCTACAGTTATTTCTGTGGCCTACTAAGGTTGAATGTTCTTTTAAACAATTTTTTTAAGTTCATATTGAACATCTTATGGGCTGTGCTGCATAACACACACAGTAAGGGAGGGATAGTCTTGTGGTTAAAGCACAAAATCTGGAGTCAGAAGAGAGGGGTTCTGTCCCTGGCTCTGCCACAAGCGTCCATTGTGACTTTGGACAAATCATTTTACCCCTTTCCATGCCTCAATTTTTCCATCTGTAAAATAGGGATAATACTTACCTCACATGTTTGTTGTGAGGGTTAATTCATTAATGTGTGCAAGGAAATTTGAAATACTGGGATGAAAGGTGCCATGAAATAAATAGTATTATAATTATTGTATTTGAGAAATGCTGGATTTCAAACAATTTTTCCTTTGTCAAGTAAAATGTTTTTTCACTGGATATTTTCCTACTTAACATGCTAGAAATATTCTACTATATATAACATACACATCAGCTGAAGTGAAATAGTTCTATAAGAAATTTGCAAATACGATAAATGAACTGTGTAAAGGAAATGGAAATCATTTTTTCCATGCCTTTTCAGGATTTCAGTCTTCTATTTAACAGTTAAAACTGTAACCTACATCATATTTTACTGTAATTTATTTTTTGTTTTGATTTGTTTTTGTTTTCAGTTCAAGTTCAACAGTTGGTGCAAAATCAGAGGAAGCAACTAAATTGGAAAAAGGAAAATCAGCACTAAACAAGGTTTTGGAATCTTTGTGCTCTTACCACTGGCAGCAGATTTTGGCTATTTTGAAATTTTTAATCCAAGACAAAAATGTTCCTTCACTTTGCAGTTGCCTGCAACCTCATATTATCCATTCAGAAACTCAGAACTCCCTCACTGAAGATGAAAACCATGTTCCATTTTGTAGTTGTGATGGACATATGCTGACAAAAAGGTGCTGTTTACAAAATCAAAATCCAAACACTTATTTACCATCTCTGTGTGTTTGTATTAAAGATTTGCACTGTTTGCCATGTCAGACTGTAGCTACTGGATGTATTAAGACAGTGGTGAATAAAAGGATTGCTAACAGTTGTAATCCTCATAGGTGCTATACAGGACAACTACAAAACTGTAACAACAAGTACTCTGTGACAGCAGCAACTTATACATCTTTTTCTTCAACTGAAGACAATGATTTGTCAAACAGCATTAAAAGTTCTAGTAGATCTCGCAGCCCATCACCTCCTCCATTGTCACCTGCACAAAATAATGAAATTGAAACATTGGAAGGATCACCTATAGATTTTCCAGCTTTAGACAACAACAAATTTGAAATAACCATTAATCAACCTCCATCTCTCTTGCCAGCAGAAGGAAGCAATAGAGAGTATGAAGATGAAGGTAAACTATGCAAAGGAAAAGGGTTTGGTTACTCAAATGAAATTTGGCTGTCAACAGATCAAGAAAGCAGCAAATGTGTTATAAATTCTGAAAAGTTTGGAAAATGTGAAAGTTCTGCCATTTTTCAAGATTTAATGGATCGTATTAATGAAAAATTAAAATCAATAGAAACTACAGATATAACAACCAATCTTGTAAAATTGTCTGACAGTGACAGGGCACCAGAAAATGATAATGTAAAATTGGGGGACTTCATAACATCTCTCTTGCACGATGCTAAGGCAAGTGATTACACTTTTATGGAGTTACTGAGCCAACATGATAAACAAGTGGAAAATAAAATTATCCAAACCAGATTTCGCAAACGTCAGGAAACTTTATTCGCAATGTATAATTCTCCTGATTCACCACTGATTAGACGACAGTCTTTGCAAATCAAGAGGGAACTTGCAAGTCTTGATGAAACTTTTATAAGGAAAAAGTCAACTTTAGAGAGAAATGCAAAGAAGTCTACAAAAAATTATGGTAAAATGTCCACAAACAAAGGAGACAGTTATAACATGTTAGAAGACAAAGCTTTACAAAATTCTGACAGTAATCTAGGTATGAGATGTCAAACTAAATCCATGTCTTTGCCAGTGTGTCAAGCAGAATCAATGGGACTACCTCTGAATAATTTTGAAACTAACTCTAGCTTTGTAGCATTTTCAGAAAACAACGTTACTATAGCAGATCAGACTAACTTTGCAAAAACACAAGGAGATTATGCAATTGAAAAAGAGATTGATCAGAGCCCTTTGAAGGGGAAATATAATGGAATCTTGGGCAGAACTAAACGTAACATTGTGCCTCCTGGATGGTACTCTGTATATGTAACAAATGACTTTTTATGTAGAAAATCCTCTAAAGCAAAAAAATCTCCTGAAAATTTGGAAAGAGATAATATAGTTAAAAATCTTCAAGCTGAAAGATCTATTGATGTAAATAAGATTGTAAGGAACACAAATCTACAAGTTGTTGTGGAGCGCTTGGAAGATACAATAAACTTAGCCAAAAAGACTAAAAGTCCACTGTTGGATAGTTATAAAATATCCAGTACATATGAGTGTGATATGAACCAAACTGCTAGGAGAGGCCTACATTTTAACATGGGTGAAAAAGGAGGTGCAGGACAGAGTTTCCTCCCCCAGTCTCACTTGTCATGCAGCAATGCATGCAAACCAGATTGTGTGCCAACAAGAGAATACAAAGAAGTTCTAGATCAAGGACTTGGTAACAACCTTTTGAAATCTTCATCCTCTGATTCAGGCAGATTGACTTCCAGTAATGGGGATGTACAGACAAGATCTGAAGTTGGGGAGAGTGCATCTCTCCTAGGTTACTCTAGCCCAATAAAACTTATGTTTGTCTCCGAGGTTAATAGTAGTGAAGGAGTGAAATATACTTTAACTGCTGCCAGTGCATCTTCTACAGCAAACACCGATCTTTGTTTATTTCAGAAGTATCCAGACACAATATCAGGAAAAAAATCTAAAACAAGTGATCTTGTTCATGAAATCTGCATTGGAGACTCTGGATATAATTGTAATGAAAGTGACACTACAGAGGAATCAAATTTTGTTAATGCTGAGACAATTGCAGATACTTGTGCAGCAGATGAAACTGACTTAAATTATTTTAAGCAAAGTGAAGAAACTGTGGAAAAATCAAGTAGTGGCAATGAATCTGTTTTAAAAAGAAAACCTGGTAGGCCTAAAAAAATAGGGCCTCAGGTTGTAAAACAGGTTAAGCGACCTATTGGACGACCTCCAAAGCCTAAAATAGACACGGCTGAAAATAGTGACCATAGATGTGAACCAACCAGTATTGGGAAAACCACCAAATCTGATGTAACGGTAATGAAAGAAGTTATCAGTAACAAGAATATTACTGTGACAGTTGTTTTTGGAAGGTCAAGAAGAACTAAAAGGCATGTTTCTGAAGGTAATATAAATATAATTAATGCTATGCCTACACAACGTGATTCCAATTTTACAAATGATTCTAGTGAACTGAGGCAAAATACAGAAACTGAAAATGGTTTTGCAGAAATAGTAAAAGTCTTACAGAATTCTGCTACTGAAAATGAAGTCTCTGGGTCTGGTTATGAGTATATTAGACCTATCAAGAATAATCCACTGTTACCACACCTTTACAGCAATATCATACGACCAAATCAGAAGCCTTTAACTATCACTAGAAAGCCTGGTAGACCAGCAAAAGTAAAAATCTCTGGCATATCAGTGACTATTAATAGAGTTTCACCTCAGGAAAGAAAAGTAAGTATTAGCGGCTGCCTGCCTGCATTGCAGCAACAGCATATGTTAGGGAAAAAAATGTCACAGGAGACAAATAATCAACCGTGCAATAAGATGAATGAAATAAAGAGCATTCAGAATGACACTACCAAGGATGCATCTGTGATTACTACTACAGAATCAAGAAAACATGAAATTCCTTTGAGGCATTCTGTTAGAGACAGAAGACCATCACTGCATTTCTTACATTCATTAGCATCTTCTAGCACATTTACTTGTAGAAGTGCCTTGCTACGTAAATCGTATAAGCTCCATTTGAAAAAAGCTAAGGATCAAAAGGAAAAACATATGCAATCAAATCTGAGGCTAGCATCCAAGGATACCTCAGAAACTAAAAATTCAGGGAGTGAAGAAAAGGGTTCTGAGGTAAATGAATTTAGGTCTGTTAATGAAATATCACTGGATCCCATTTTTTCATCAAATCCTTCTCTCAGGTGGTGGGCTACTTCCACTTCACATGACTTCTTGTTGGAAGAACTAAATAATAGATTTGAACAGATAACTAATACCTGGTTGCAAGTGGGTGGAAATGAATTTGAAAAGTGTTTATATGAAAAAATCAATCATGTTGAACAAGATTGTAGCATTAAAGTGTCAAGACCTTTAGACACCTGCCTTGTAGAACTTGAAGCATCACCTATAAAAATGCTTTTTCAGAAGAAGTGTAATATAAATGAACTTAGTTCTTGGTTTATGCAAACAACAGAAACGCAGTCACTCTCTCTAGTGAGAAAGGCAAATGCTCGCAATCCTTTGGAAGTAATTAGTACTAGAGAGATTAAGATGGGAAGTAAACAATCTGATCTTAATACTAGTCCTTTCAGAAAGCACTTTAAAAAGTTTGCACTATCCTCTCCTTCAGAACCAGCTGGGAAATTACAAATATTGCATAAAATTGTCCAGGCTCCAGTCTTAAATATGAAAAGTAATTTCACACTAGCCAGATTAAGAAGAACTGAATTTAAGAAGTTACAACATGACAGGTGGAGACAAGTGAAAAAAATGTATAACCATGGAACAGGTGACTGGAAATCTAAAAGGCGAAACTTAAGATTTTTCTGCCAAAGCCAGTTTTTTAAAAATGCAAGTGGGAAAATCAGTGATGTAGTACCCACGCACCAAGGAAAAAGTACAGTAAAAACCCAGCCCACTGAAATCTTAGAATCTCACAATAGAATCTTGTCAACTGGAACTGAAGTCAAAGACGCATTTCTTCCACAGACAATAGAATTGTCTGACTTCAGCACACATCCTGGTTTAACAAATATTTTTAAATCACATTCAGAGATAAATGGAACAAGTTATAATCAAAAAAATGTTGGAAAATCACAGAACCAACTTAAAATGAGTCAAAGTACATGGAGAGCCAAAACCTTTAAAGATTGTAGAATATTTCTGAGAAAACTGAATCATATAGAACAGCATAAATCGTTCAAGTTAAATACTATCATTTACGCTCCAGAAGCTGTTGAAAGTAGAAGCAATGAGACCTACACTGAAGAAAAAAGGCATTGTACTTTAAAGTCCTATTCTGCTAGGCAAGATGCATTAAAGGGAAAAGAAAAGGATGTGGAGACATGTAAGGGAACTAATCCTTCCAAAATGACTGCAATGCTGGATGACCAATTAGACAGCAAAAAATCAAGCAAATGCGAAAACAATGAGAGCCCTGCTGCTAGTTCTGAAGTTCTTAACAAAATAAACATAAGAAAAAGACCACAATGGGAGACCACTGATATGAATGTAAGAAAAAGGCATAAGAGCCAATCATGCAATACTGGACAAATGGCGAATTATTACTCAAAATACCAACTAGGTAAGTCCCCGCCCCCCTTAATTTTAAAATACTAATTTTAAATTAAAGTATAACTGAAAGAGAAGTAGAATAGCTGGAAACATTAAAATGTATACGGTGTGGGTCAAAAATATCCAGTCTTCAAAAAGTAATAAAATGCAACAATTTATAATACCAAAAGTATAGTGCTGAAAGTGCAGTTAAAATTTTTAAAATACTTCATCATTTTATTAAAGTTTGCCATCTGCTTTTACAATAGGTATATTACACTATCCAGGCTGATGATACACTTAATGACAAGTCAAAATAGCAATGAGCTACTTTTAGTAGCATAGTCTGAGAAAGACGTTGGGTGAAATTCTGACACCATTAAAGTCAGTCAATTAGAGTTTTGTCATTGATTTCACCCATACAGCATAGTCAGGATTTCACCCATACGGCATAGTCCTTGGTATGTCAGGGAGGCGTTAACTACAAAACACATTTACACAGAGATACATAGTTACAGCTCAGTTAAACAAAAAATTCATTTTTTCTCATTTGACATTGATTTAAATACAAATCTATAATAGGACTCATAATTAAACAGTAAGATATGACTGGTAGTATTGTGTATTTCTGGGCAATTATTTACTAGAATGTCTGTGGTAGCTCCTGATTCGATGCCAGTTGAAATCAATGAAAAGATTTCTGTTGATGTTGATAGATTTTGTAGTGAGACATACATTAATCACACTGAAATGCATTTGCCCTAGAATGTTATACTGCTATTGTGAAATGCAATCTGTACATAAGAAAGAACAGTAAGAATTTTATACGGCAAAATTGTGCAGGTTTCACATCATCATGGCCATAATATAGTTAAAAATACGGGGTCAGTTGTCAAACTCTTATTCATGTCTGTGAACCCTTACTAACATGAGTAGTCCTATTGATTTCAATAGGACTACTCAGGTGAATAAGTGCTCAACAGAATAGTAAGGGTTCCACAATAGGGCCCATAATTACAATAAAATGATACATTTACTAACCTACAATTATATTAGATTATCTGTCCAGGTAGCCCAGAAGAGAGAACTAATTAAAATTATTCTAAACAATGAAGCAAAATCTAATATTTCTTCCCTTGTCTTTTATATCTAAGAAAACTGTCCCTGGGTAAAGGCAAAATCTAATTTTAGATGTAAACTGACACATTGAATGAAGTTGTACATTGTTTAGAAAATGCAGCACAGAAAGCAACTGTGCTTTCTTGCATTATAAATAAGATAAAGAAGGAAAATTATGAACTGTGTAAAGTTTTTCTTATGTCATGCTCATTTCATGTACTCCTAGTTCTGCAAAGGTAAATTTTCTACCTAAATTTATACTATCTTTTTTTCTCTGTGTGTGCTTCAAGTGCATTAATTTTGGAGTGCACTCAAAAGAAAAAATATCTAAACCCTCTCTTGCTGTAATACAGAAAGTTTGTATTCAAATTATATTTATTTCTGAGTTTACTTTTTTCTAATTGCAGCAATCTACAAAAAAATCTGCAACATACTCTCATGTTAGTTCTGTTTAAGACTAATTTCTACTGATAACTTTCCTCCTTTTTAGTTGACATCTTTAGAAAATCTGATCACTATTTTAATATTGTTACATTATTTCATTTTAGACTTTTGTTAAGTTTTTTTTTCTTTCTGTTATTCATAGTGTCTGTCCCATGGCTGTTGGCATCCATAGAAAGATGTCAAAAAAAGCTCACTTACAGCTTCAAAAGAAGCACTGATCTCAAAGAGGCAAATTTTAGTCAGCCTCAACCTGGTGTTTAAGACTCTGATTCTACAGCTGCATCCATTCTGGTGGATTTTTGAACTGATGCAGAACCTGTCCTCTCTCCCTTCTCCTCCTCCTCCCCCCCCGCCCCCCCCCCCCCGATGAATGCAGCTGCAAGGTCAGGTTCTAATTTTGCATGCATAACTGTTTACTGGCACATTTCCTGCATCTGAAAGCTTCATGTATATGGAAGCATCATTATGTATGTGTATATTCTTTGGATTGCATGTGGGTGTTACAGTGGTATCAAGACCTACATCGCTTGCTAAAGTTTTCTGTATATTAAATACTTTTATATAGATAAGTAGATATTTTTGTCAACATTTTCAAGTTTTTCCTCAATTTTTATTAACCTCTCTATCAGACTGAGGAAGAGAGGGGAAAGTACCTTGTGTATTCCTGAAGGAACTTTCTGATGTCCTCTATGAGGAAGGGCAAGATGTTGATATTGAAGAATTGTGGTTTCAATTTTTGTTGCAATCTGAGAGTTGTATAACCATACACAGGTGGATGCTATTGCATTCTTACAGGTCAAGACACTTTTTTTCAAAAGAAAGTGTCCCTATGATCAATTCTCAATCTGGCTGCAGAAGAGGACTGATCATACTCTCATATCACATTTTGTTCAAAAAATGGCAAATAGGAGATACTTTGAACTTCATGATGCTTCTGGCACTTTGATTAGCTTGTGAAGTGTCTGCTTCAATGACACATTTGGATATGTTGAGGGCTTGGTTCCAATGTACTGTGAATCTCTGTTAAACTTTTTTTTTTTTAAAGGACATTTTCATTTGGCAGTATTGAATTGGACTTGTCTACACAAGCCAAGAATATCATATAAATACATTTTTAGTAAAGGATTTATGGTTCTTGCTAGAAAGGCGCTAACATGATTTCCCCTGTCAGTATATCACAGACCTCACCTAGAGGCTTGGAGCTAGCTAAAGTATCCACATAGAGGCTTTGGAGATGGCTAAGCTAAACTAGAATAAACGATCATGTTATGATAAAACGTGACATGATATTGAGAAGATACCATGTGAGGACTTCACCATATGATGAATGGTCTAAAGATTTCCAGCAAGAGGTACTGAAAGAACTCTTTTAAAAAAAAAAAAAAAAAAAAAAAAATCAATTCTAATTATTTGCAACATAGGGCATTTTTCCTCATCCCATTGTGAACTTTTTCATTTCTGCCTTACATTTTGGCAACTCAGAGAGTCAACAGGGGCTTGGAGGTTTTAGAACAACTCCCATCAGACGTATTTGAAAAGGTTTTACTAGCAATGTGTAAAAATACCAGTAGTTTTATTTATTTATTTTCAAATTTGAAAGCCCTGTTTTCAAATGTCTATATATTAATGGGGTACACTCAGCTCAGCACTTCGACAAAATGGGAATTTACAGTTCTAAATACTGATTTGGACATCCTTCTTAAGGTGCCCACATTTGAAAATTGGACTGTATTGTTCCAATTGGTTTCCATCTCTCGCTTTGTACAATCCCTTGCAATTTAAAACAATGTCTGCATTAACATATCAGGATAATAGCCAAGATTTTTCTCAAACATCCCTTCTCATTCCAGAAAGATTCTTGGATTTTAAAAGTTATATTGAAATCTGTCTATTTCTACTTTGGTACTATAGTCCAGTTAACATCTGGACTCCATTGTGCTAGGCATTTTACAAGCACATTGGAAGACATAATCTCTGCTCCAAAGAGCTAATGATAAATAAATAAAATAAAATCTTAGAGAGTGCGTTCAGCTTTTTAACACATGGAGAGGCTTATTCTATGCTCTAGGTGTGGAACAAGTGAGGCATATGCTTCTAGTGTATATAAGGTCACATTAAGTGCAAAATAATCTGCTGAAATGGTAATTACATCTTTCTCTTGTAAGAATTCCCTCTGGAAGCTCATCAGAGGAATACTAATGAAGTAGTTGGCCTCAGGATATTTCCACCTGTAGATATTCAGAGCAAACTTGTATAGCTCATTTCATAAACTATAATTACCTAAGCCATTGGCACCCAACTGTTATCAGTCCAGGAGCCATTTTATCATTGAACAGAATTACAGAGAGATGTAAAAGAATGTAACAAGTTAAAATAAAATTGTATATAACAGTTATTAAAATTAATAACTACTTTCAATTAAATGCGTGTTTCTTAAAGTGAAAATGTCAAGGGCAAAATTTTGCTAGCAGCACAAATATATATGTAATAAATCCTGTGTGCTGTGTGTGCGTGCATGTGTGCGCATGTGCACGCCTGTGCGTTAAATTGCAGGTTTTTTCTCGGACAATTATTGCATCATAGTTAGGCTGTTGCTTATCCTCTCACTGGAGATACCCATGGGCTGAGTGTCACTGGCCAGGCACCATGTTAAATTTGGCTTATCTGTACTACAATAGTTCTTTTAAACAAAGAGACTTAACTCTGAATACTTCCACTTATTTTGTCTGCTAGGATCTCTTTATATCTTGGTGTCTTGTTTTTTCATCCTTTGTATATAATTTACACTCACAACATTCATTGATCATTTTAAATTTTATTTTTATTTCTATTTTTCTTTTAGGATTGTCTTAATACCTTTTTTTAACTGGTATACTAACATTTGATTTCTAAATATGGTACTACAGACAGATTCACACTCATCTTCTCCTTCAGCTACAATTTTGGGAGAATTACTGTTAGGTTTTTCATGCTCCTTTAATGAACTGATAATGCTTTTTAGATGGTGCTCTAGAGAAGAAATTTATTTAAAATCACCTGAGCCCCAGTTCACCAAAGCATTTAAGCATGTGTTTAAACTATAAATATGTGAGAAGTTCAATTGAAGTCAACAGGACTATTCATGGGCTTAAGTGATTTGCTCAATTGGACTTTTGAGAATGCCCCCAAATCCATTAATTGGAGAATCATTAAACTGAGTGTAGATCTGTGTAAAATATTATTTTATAAGAAATGAAATGCAAGTAAGTACTGTATTTTTTTTAACCAGCCATGGTTTAAAATTATGTATACTGAAGTTTGACTGTAACAGTGAAATGCAAGGAAACTGTTGAAACAAGAATTTTTGCTGACATAAACCATAATGAAGACAGAGAAGTATTTTTCTTGTTGTAGTGCGGCTCATTTCTATTACTGTAAAGTACTACATTCTGTTTTCTAAACATAGCTATAGAGGCAAGACATAGAGAC